TCTCTTCCCTCTTACATCTCCCTCCCACCCTCCCTATCCCACCCCTCTAGGTGGTCACAAAGCACCGAGCTGATCTCCCTGTGCTATGCGGCTGCTTCCCACTAGCTATCTATTTTACGTTTGGAAGTGAATATATGGTCACGCCACTCTCTCACTTTGTCACAGCTTACCCTTCCTCCTCCCCATATCCTCTAGTCTATTCTCTAGTAGGTCTGCATCTTTATTCCCGTCTTGCCCCTAGGTTCTTCTGACCCTTTTTTTTTTTTTTAGATTCCATATATATATGTGTTAGCATATGGTATTTGTTTTTGTCTTTCTGACTTACTCTGTATGACAGTCTCTAGGTCCATCCACCTCACTACAAATAACTCAGTTTCGTTCCTTTTTATGGCTGAGTAATATTCCATTATATATATATATGCCACATCTTCTTTATCCATTCATCTGCTGATGGACACTTAGGCTGCTTCCATGTCCTGGCTATTGTAATAGAGCTGCAATGAACATTTTGGTACATGACTCTTTCTGAATTACGGTTTTCTCAGGGTATATGCCCAATAGTGGGATTGCTGGGTCCTATGGTAGTTCCATATTTAGTTTTTTAAGGAACCTCCAACTGTTCTCCATAGTGGCTGTATCAATTTACATTCCCACAAACAGTGCAAGAGGGTTCCCTTTCCTCCACACCCTCTCCAGCATTTATTGTTTGTAGATTTTTTCATGATGGCCATTCTGACCGGTGTGAGATGATATCTCATTGTAGTTTTCATTTGCATTTCTCTAATGATTAATGATTTTGAGCATTCTTTCATGTGTTTGCTGGCAATCCGTATATCTTCTTTGGAGAAATGTCTATTTAGGTCTTCTGCCCATTTTTGGATTGGGTTGTTTGTTTTTTTGATATTGAGCTGCATGAGTTGCTTGTATGTTTTGGAAATTAATCCTTTGTCAGTTGCTTCATTTGCAAATATTTTCTCCCATTCTGAGGGCTGTCTTTTCGGCTTGTTTATGGTTTCCTTTACTGTGCAAAAGCTTTAAAGTTTCATTAGGTCCCATTTATTTTGGTTTTTATTTCCATTTCTCTAGGACGTGGGTCAAAAAGGATCTTGCTGTGATTTATGTCATAGAGTGTTCTGCCTATGTTTTCCTCTAAGAGTTTGATGGTGCCTGGTCTTACATTTAGGTTTTTAATCCATTTTGAGTTTATTTTTGTGTATGGTGTTAGGGACGGTTCTAATTTCATTCTTTTACATGTAGCTGTCCAGTTTTCCCAGCACCACTTATTGAAGAGGCTGTCTTTTCTCCACTGTATATTCTTGCCTCCTTTATCAAAGATAAGGTGACCATATGTGCGTGGGTTTATCTCTGGGCTTTCTATCCTGTTCCATTGATCTATATTTCTGTTTTTGTGCCAGTACCATACTCTCTTGATTATTGTAGCTTTGTAGTATAATCTGAAGTCAGGGAGCCTGATTCCTCCAGCTCCATTTTTCGTTCTCAAGATTGCTTTGGCTATTCGGGGTCTTTTGTGTTTCCATACAAATTGTGAAATTTTTTGTTCTAGTTCTGTGAAAATTGCCAGTGGTAGTTTGACAGGGATTGCATTGAATCTGTAGATTGCTTTGGGGAGTAGAGTCATTTTCACAATGTTGATTCTTCCAACCCAAGAACATGGTATATCTCTCTATCTATTTGTATCATCTTTAATTTCTTTCATCAGTGTCTTATAATTTTCTGCATACAGGTCTTTTGTCACCTTAGGGGGGTTTATTCCTAGATATTTTATTCTTTTTGTTGCAACGGTACATGGGAGTGTTTTCTTTGTGTGTTTTTTTTTTGGGGGGAGTGTTTTCTTAATTTCACTTTCAGATTTTTCATCATTAGTGTGTAGGAATGCAAGAGATTTCTGTGCATTAATTTTGTATCCTGCTACTTTACCAAATTCACTGATTAGCTCTAGCAGTTTTCTGGTAGCATCTTTAGGATTCTCTATGTATAGTATCATGTCATTTGCAAATAGTGACAGCTTTACTTCTTCTTTTCCAATTTGGATTCCTTTTATTTCTTTTTCTTCTCTGATTGCTATGGCTAAAACTTCCAAAACTATGTTGAATAATAGTGGTGAGAGTGGGCAACCTTGGCTTGTTCCTCATCTTAGTGGAATTGGTTTCAGTTTTTCACCACTGAGGACGATGTTTGCTGTGGGTTTGTCATATATGGCCTTTATTATGTTGAGGAAAGTTCCCTCTATGCCTACTTTCTGGAGGGTATTTATCATAAATAGGTGTTGAATTTTGTCGAAAGCATTCTCTGCATCTATTGAGATGATAATATGATTTTTCTCTTTCAATTTGTTAATATGGTGTATCCCGTAGATTGATTTGTGTATATCGAAGAATCCTTGCATTCCTGGGATAAACCCCACTTGATCATGGTGTATGATCCTTTTAATGTGCAGTTGGATTCTGTTTGCTAGTATTTTGTTGAGGATTTTTGCTTCTATGTTCATCAGTGATATTGGCCTGTAGTTTTCTTTCTTTGTGACATCTTTGTCTGGTTTTGGTATCAGAGTGATCAGAAGCCACTCTTACGAAATTCACTAATAACCGTGACACTGCCACATGCAATGGTGACTTCTTAGTCCTCAGCATTTGTACAAGTTAATTACTGCCTCCTGTTTGAAACATTTAATTCACTGGCTTCCAAAACAACACAGATCTAGTTCTCATACCTCACTGGCTGCTACTTCCTATATTATATTGTTCATTCCTACTCACTACCTCAATATCTAAATGGTGAAATTCCTCAGAGATCAGTTCTCAGACCTCTTCTCTCTTCTATCTATACTCACTCTCTTGGTGATCTCATCTTACCTCTTGGCTTTAAATACCATCTATATATGAACTACTTCTAAATTTACTTCTCTAGACTAGATGTTTCTCCTTAACTCCAGGCTCATATATCTAACTATCTAATGATATCTATATGCTTGAATATCTTAATGGGCATCTCACATTTAACATGTCCAAAACTCAACCTCTGGTTTTCCCCCGAAAACTGCTTCTCCCACGTCTTTCCCATCTCAATAAAGAACATCCGTCCATTTGCAAAGGCCAAAACTTTGGAGTCATCTTTGGCTCCTCTCTCTTACATCTCACATCCAATTCATCAGTCAATCCTATACCCTACATTCAACAGATTATCACAACCCTCACCATTTCCATCCTGGTGTAAAACACCATCATCTCTTGCTAAGATAACTGCAACTCCTAACTGGTCTCCTTGACTCTTCCTATGCCCCCAAAGAGTCTTTTTCAATATAGTAGCTAGGATGATACTCTTAAAATGTGTATCAGATGTCATTCCTTTACTCAAAACTATGTGAGGCTCTCTGCTTCCCTCAAATTAAAAATCAAAATCCTTACAGTGGCCTTTAATGTCCTATGCTACATTGCATCCCGTGTTCTATTTAACTTCATCTCCTGCTACTTTTCCCTGCCTTACTTGCTCTGGCCACTTTGGCTGCCTTGCCATCTTTTAAACATATCAGGCATCCTTCTGCCTGGAATGCTATTCTCCCAAATAGCTACATAATTCACTACGTTCTCTCCATTAGATCTTTCTCAAATGTCTCTTTTTCAGTGAGGTCTTCCCTATTTTAAAACTGCAATCCTGTTCACCATTACTTACTTTACTTTTCTCCAGAGTATTTTTCACCTTATGAAATATTACATATTTTATTTTATTTATTGCCTGTCTCTCCTACTAGAATGTAAGATACAGGAAGAAAGGAATATTTTCACTTGCTTTATTTATTGCTAAAACCAGGGTCTAGAATGTTCTGTCAGAGTAGGCACTCCAATAGTGGTTCTTCAGCCTCTACTGACCTATGAAAACTACTTTCCATGTTCTGTTACTCAGGGTTGGATCCATTGTCCCTTTGATTCTTCTCACTCTCCAGTGTCCCTTTGATTCTTCTCACTCTCTCTACTGAATCAGAGTTGACTACTATCATTGACACTTAACTTCGAGTCCAGAATCACAGAGGACTCTCGGATAGAGAAGTGTGCAGAACTGCCAATTTCCATCAGTAATCCTAAAATCTGATTTATTAAAAGATACTTTACAGTTAGAGTCTGTGTTTTAAAGAAATAAACCATTAAACCAAAACCATCTATTGCATGTCTTTCATTTCCTTTCTGTATGACATTTCAGGCAATCTTTGCAATAATGATGCTATTATATACTATAATCCCTAGAGGCTTGGGCTAAGATTTAGTAAATTAGAGTGCTGGTCTTGGCAAAGCCAGTAATTTAGGTTCATATCCTTTAACTTCTGTGTCTCAATTTTTCTATCTTACAAATGGGGACTATTCTGGCCCTTTTACATAGTGTCTTATAGAAATTATTTGTATACATCTTTTCTTTCCATTGCCTTTGAAGATTGGGGCTGTTTTTATTTATCTGTGTATATCACATGCTATTTACAATGTTTAGTAGATCAATATATGCATGGATAAAACAGATTTTAGTTTTAAGCATGAAATTACCTATGTGGAATTACTTCAAAAAACATATGATGTAATATAAAAAATACTATTTATTTTTACCATAAAATGAGGCTTAACAGATTCCCAGGAAAAAAAGGAGAAATTACATCTTTTCTCCCCAAGGAGAACAAATTTATTTACTTACTCAGTATGAAAAATTAAAAAAAAACCAGCCACTCATTTTCCTCCATTCTTTTGTTCCCCATCATTCCAACAATACTACTGATTTATCCTGTAATTTAAAGACCATAAATTTGGAACTTTAAACCTCAAGGCTTCACTATTCTCCAGCACCCACATCTAGTGATACCAAATTCCATCACCTTTTTTGTTTCTATTTCACAGCTCCATCCTTCTCATCTGCATTTCTGTAGCCATGATGTTAATTTTAAATTAAGACCATTGAATGTTACTACATTTTAGCAAAAAGTGGTATATTTAGCCTCTTACCAGTACATCATGCACCAAGGCTTGATATGTCCAAGTATGGTGTAAAGGAGTTGCCAAATCTATGTTTCTGTCAACAAGGACTAATAAAGGCCTTTGGAAGCTGTAAATATATTTAAAAAAAAGTTATGTAACTCTTAATACCTGTGTATACATCTACATTCTTCTACTACTTTCAGTATATGTCATTTTCATATGAACAGTAAGTATACTAATATTGACATTCCATAATACTTTGCTTTCTAAAATATTTTCTAGTACAATCAAGTAAAGTAATGCTTTGTACTACCTAGAGCCTGTGTATGATGCTAGATTATAAGTCTTACTTAGGGAACTTTCTTAAAGGAAAAAATCTATACAAATACTTCTACAGAATAATATTTTTTTTTTTTTTTTTTTTTTTTAGCGGTATGTGGGCCTCTCACTGGTATGGCCTCTCCTCTTGTGGAGCACAGGCTCCAGACGCGCAGGCTCAGCGGCCATGGCTCACAGGCCTAGCCGCTCCACGGCATGTGGGATTTTCCCGGACCGGGGCACGAACCCGTGTCCCCTGCATCAGCAGGCAGACTCTCAACCACTGCGCCACCAGGGAAGCCCTACAGAATAATTTTCATAGTTATCAAAGTAAGAATAAGTTGCTTTTGCTCAGATTTATATTTTACATTTTTGAATAAAAGGAAAAAAAGAAAACCCATTGTCAGGTTCAGGGAAAACAATTACAGAGAGTAGGATCTTACAAATTTATACAAATGTTCAATCGTTTCATAAATTACAAATTCCAATTTTTTCCTGAAAACACAAATTCAAAAAAGCAGACTCAAGAGAAGAGGCTCACAAAACCCTATCCCATTATAATATATGAAACCAAAACATTATACTACAACAGTAACTAATTATATAATTACTCACTTACCAGACATGTCATATATTGTTTAACTCCATCACTATCATTTAGATATGAAATAAACTACATTTAAAGCAAATTGAGGCACAAAGTCATCTGGTTACCACGTGTCTCCAGAAGGCATAGAGATTTCACTTTAGAGGCACTACTGTATCAAGAGTACACGTCAATTTTCAATAGGCATTGCTACCTGATTTTATTTACTATATGTATTTTCTCCTGAAAGACCTCTGACAATTTCAGTAACTCATTACACCCTACTGGGTGTAAGACAGTGAACTCCCAACTGCATTAATTATAAGACTTGGCGATAAAAAGGTAGGAGTGGCACGCTTACCACCTTCTACCATCGTTCATTATTCCACAGCTAGGTGGAAGGTAGGGAGGATAGCCTACGGCAGGGTTTCTTAACTCAGCACTACTGACATCTGTGGCTGGATAAGTTCTTATTATGGGAAGTTGTCCTGTGAAGTGTAGGATGTGTAGCAGCATCCCATAATGCACCCCATTAGATTCCAGTAGCAACTACCCAGTTGTGACAACTGACATGTCTCTAGACATTACCAAATTCTCGTTGAGAATCATTAGCCTACAATTGGATTCAAATACATTTAACAATAAATAGTCTGACAAGGCTGCTGACCCCTAATTCAAATAATTTAGAAATGCATACAACAAACTAAAAGTAAGACAACTATATTATGATCATGTGAATACACTAAAAAAAATTTATCTAAATAAAACAGTGCCTTTATATTGGTTTCTAAGGCCTATACAAGAGCACAATAAAAAAGGAACTGTTCAGTAAGGTATGACATAGTGGTTGCTTCTGTTGAAAAGAAAATCAGATGAGAATTTGATATCTCTGCTCTACTTAATAAGAAATATCATTATTTAGAAGAATATTTAGACCAGCGATGAAATTGCAAAACAGTTTAAAGTAACATGGGAGGTGAAACAGTTGAACAAACAATTGAAACACAATGTTAGTATCAACTGCAAATTATAGGAATAGTATATAAAACTGTAAGAGCCATCAAACTGACTTAAAATGAAGTCTACCATAAGAGTATAATTCCTGGAAGGCAGTTATACTGAGTATCAGTTTATTTTCACAGGCTTTATTTATTAATTCACCTAAAACTACGGATAATAATTAATTTTCCAAAATACTGTCTATTCCCCTTGAAATAATTTTCAGCCATTGGTGTGGGTTTCTTTACTTCCTCACCCCAATACTATCCATTATTATCATTATTATTTTTGTGTGTGTGTGTGTGTGTGTGTGTGTGTGTGTGTGTGGTACGCGGGCCTCTCACTGTTGTGGCCTCTCCCATTGTGGAGCACAGGCTCTGGACACGCAGGCTCAGCGGCCATGGCTCACGGGCCCAGCCACTCCGTGGCATGTGGGATCTTCCCGGACCGGGGCATGAACCCGCGTCCCCTGCATCGGCAGGTGGACTCTCAACCACTGCACCACCAGGGAAGTCCTGTCCATTATTTTTAATAAAGAAAAGTTAAATACACTATAATGGACAGTTTTTTAAAAAAAATTTCTATTCAATAATAATTGAGCAGTCAGTAACTTTGGCATTATCTATTTATATTAGACATGGTAAAAAAGACAAAAATACTTTGCCGGTATTTTAATGTAAAAATGGAAACCAGTTAATAGACAGGTAGAAATAGACATAGGCATCACAAGTTATTCAACTTACTTTTTTTCATTACCAAGAGGCTTAATGATAATTAAAAGGAAGTGGCTTCTTACTGCAAAAGCCGTATAAACAGGGCTTCCCTGGTGGCGCAGTGGTTGAGAGTCCGCCTGCTGATGCAGAGGACACGGGTTCGTGCCTCGGTCCGGGAAGATCCCACATGCCGTGGAGCGGCTAGGCCCATGAGCCATGGCTGCTGAGCCTGCGCGTCCAGAGCCTGTGCTCCGCAACGGGAGAGGCCACAACAGTGAGAGGCCCGCGTACCGCAAAAAAAAAAAAAAAAAGCCGTATAAACAGAAAAATTTATCCTACAGATGATAAAAATGAAAAACAAAAAATTCTAACAAAAGAAGGTAAATTAAATAAAATATTCCATTTGTATTTTTAAGAACGATTTGAATCAAAACCCTGATCTAGACTTTCCAGTATAAGGGTATTCTATCAGACAAGGAAAAACAACCCAAAAAACTCTACAAATGTTTCATTTTCAAGCATATAAGGTGTATTAACTAACATAATACCTGAACTGGCCAGCTCCAAGGGTGTCACCTGTAAAAAGACTGTTTCTTGCATCTCTCAGATTTTCCCGAAGTTTCTTATCTAGTTTCTGAAAAATGAAATTTTACATTAACTCTTTTTAAAAAAATATTTAATTTTATTGAAGCATAGTTGATTTACAATGCTGTGTTAGTTTCAGGTGTACAGCAAAGTGATTCAGTTATACATATACATATATTCATCTTTTTTTAGATTCTTTTCTTATATAGGTTATCACAGAATATTGAGTAGAGTTCCCTGTGCTACATTAACTCTTGAAGAACAGTTTCAGACAACTTTGCATAGGGTAATACACATTGTATTCTTAATTTTGGAACTAAGAAATTTAGAATTCCTTTACAAAACAGCAATTCTCACATTTTAGCTTCTTTACTATTCAATATTATCCTAACTTGGACTTGAAAAGACCAATGCTTTTTCTATTGTGACTCAGACCTGATTTCACTAATAATCACTTTTTTTGGACTATTTTTACTTTAGGTATAGGAAACGTTTTGCAGTAATAACCCACACTCTCTCCCAAAGCATAACTTGCTGCACCGAGGAAGCTATCTCAATAGTGGTGGTTGCAAGAGGCTCCAGAATAGAAATGGAATATGTGAAAGAAACTAGCCCTCTATCTGTCAATGACTCATTTGGGCTACTAAAACTCAAAACTGTTAGTGTATCTTCCTCCATCTTTCCATACCATGTACCTTCTTTTCAGTAACTCTGTAATTTCTCTAATATCTTATTTTTTAATCTTTAAAGCAAATTCTTGAATGCTCATTTTACACAGAATGTTCTACTCCAGTATTATGGGAAAGCAAAATACACTTCATCATGTTAAAAATGATTATAATTGTTAATAAATGTTTGCTAAATGAAGTTAAATATTAAATGATTTGAGGAATCAAATAAGTGTAAAATACTACTTAGAGAGACAAAGCTAAATGAGGAATATTTATTTGAGTAAAAAAGAAACAGGGCTGGAATAGCACATTCACATTGGAATAAATCATTTTACTCCATCACATGATCACAATGATTACTTTTTATTTTTGGTGTAATCCCAATGTTATAAAATAAAAATATTTGCCTTTGGCACTTAATATATAACCCATAACAACTGTATACATACTTAATATTAACAAAAATACTTGAGGTATTTAGGGAAAACAACTGACACGTTATTTATCCCCAATGGATATTTGCATGAACTCACCACTGCTACCATTTCTGCTGCTGTTCCTCTTGAACATCTGATTATAGGGACAGCACCTATTTTAACAACAGATGTTAGCAATGATTTCAGCTCTTAATAATTAAAATGGATACTTATAAAATACATCAGCCTCAAATAATAACATATAATAGATATATACAATTTCAGGCTACAAACATAAAAGGATTTATAATCTTGAAAATAAAAGCAAGGTTCAGAAATAGACCTTACCATTTATAAAGACAACATGAAGGGAGTCAGAAAAACATGATTTTTATATTGTGTGGGTCAATCAGTGTGACCATATTTTTTCAATGGACTGACTAAATCAGCACTTTGACTAATTTAAAAGATAGTATCAATAGAAAACACATTCTTTGCACAATGTAAAATGCTCCTAAAAGTTGGCCTCAGTTTATTATCAAATCAACTCATTTTAGACTTCTTAATTTCTCTCTATTATTCGAAGTTTTATTGAAGGCTGAAATCCTAAAATGAGAAAAAAAAATTAAACTGCACTGAAAATCTCATAAAACAAAGAACATTGTAATACTTATATGCTGAAATTCTTACATTTTAGATTCTATACAAAGCATGCTCAGTCACTTGTAAAAGTAAAAACGTGAAATATTAGTACATTTTTTAAAACTTTGTTTTCTTCTGATGGCAAGCTATACATGTCTGTCCTAAGAAAATCCAAATAATATTAGAAATGTACAAAGTTAATCCTCTTGATTCAAGCATCCCAAAATAACCCCATTAAGAATTAGATATGAATGTTTCCAGGTTATATTCTACATATAGTCTAAATAAGTGTGTGTGTGGAATGCATAAAAAACAAAAATAGGATATTTTGCATACCATCCTTAAATTTGCTTTTTTTCCACTTAATTTATTATTGATATCTTTCTATGTCAGGTTGGCAGTAATTTCAACTTTTCCTTTAAGAAAAATCACTTTCTGATACTCTACATAATAAAAGTGGCTCTAACACTTCAGTGGTCTGTACACTTCTTTTTCAATCTACCTTAACCTTGAAAATATAGTTATCATCAAGCAAAAATAACCTTAATGTCCACAATAACTCTAGCATTCAGCAAAATTCTGGAGACTGTGTGCAAAAATAGAAAGATTAATTATGTCCGTTTAATGACTAAAAGTGGTATACATGTGCATTCTTTAACAAACAAACAAACAAAAAAAGACCCAACAACAACTACATTTGAAGGTACTGAGAGCAATCGAAAGCAAGCAGAAAGTGAAGGAGGGTAAAACTCTTGAAAGAAGAGAAATACTTGAACAGTGAGAGATACTTTTAACCAGCTTTCCTCTTGAGGGTACTTTCCAGTTTGCATGGCACAGAGGAGAAAGAGCTCAAGCAGAAAGCAGAAGACTCACTGAGCTGGGAAATCAAAGCCTGGAGTTCAGGGCTGGAAATTAAAGGGAAAAATCCCTGAAAGGAGGGACCCGCAAAATCTGTATGCAAATTCTCCTCAAGCTTTTGTCTATATCCTAAACTATGCATGTATCTCTCAATTTTCTCATTTGTGAAAAAGAGAGAAATTTTATTAATGTAGTGTGAGGATCATTTTAACTGAAAAGTTTTCAGTGTCTGCAAAATTAAAATCGCCATTAGAGGATTTCTAAACATACCCATTATTAATAGTAACGAATAAAATCATACATTAGACATTAAACACAATGTAGCTGTAAGTAAATTTAGATACTCCAAAGAAATGTTTAAAATTTTGAGAGTATGTTGGATAAGTGTTTTACGTAAAGTTACTGTTTTCTGGAGCCTTGGGAGTTTGCCTTAATACTTACCAGGCATATATCTCTCTAATTAGAAGTGCATTTGAAATTTTTCAAAATGAAATATTAAAAGAAAATTAGCAGGCACATAGGTGAAGCCACCAGCAAACATTCAAACAATATATTAGGAAGTTACAATTACCAAAGACATCTAAGGTGACAACTCAAGAGAGCTGCTAAATGCTAACTTCATCAAATTATTAGAAGAATTGTGGTTTTATATAGTACAGAATGTATATTTTATCTCAACTCTGGAGAGAGGGATTGTAGAGATCCAGATAGATAATAAAGGATCATATTGCAGTGTAATAAGTTAAAATGAGCTGTTAAATAACTTACTTTCAAGAAATAAACAAAGGTTTGAAAACTTACCCAGTGTAACAAAAAAGCAAAAGAGGCTGTCAACAATAGTGTCCATAACAGTTTCCATTTCTGTGTCTGTGATATCTGGTCTGTTAATGGCTAAAATGACAAAGATAAAGGAGAAGAAAGTGACCAAAATTTATCCCTTATTTTTATTCAAATTATTACTCAACACCTATCAATATTCAGTTTGATAATACTTGTAATAGTTAAAGAAGCAAAATTTTTTATGCTTTAAATTTTAAGTGAACAAGTATCCACAAAAATTATACTTCAAAAAAAATACCACCCCAATATCAGTAGTAGTAATGAGTAGTATCAATATTAGAGCAGTAATAATATGAAAAAACCCACCACATAAATTATACAAAATTTTTGCCAGAGCAAATAGGAAATACCGACTTCCATAATTTTATTCACAAACATTAAATGGCCTCAAGAAACTACTGATCTTACTATCCAAATACTGCCAGAAAAGGACAATGTATCAATAAATCAATTACGGCAAGACCAACATCACATACATTTTCTTTGTATTATAACAAATCATATAAATTTCTTTTCTGATCTACTAGACTGTACTTAAGTGGTTCTCAAACTCCATTGGACAGAAGACTCATTCTAAGAATAGGAGAGAAGAGAAAGAAGTTTCTCTGGAAGCTATTAAAAATGAAAGACTATTAGCCCTTTCCCTCAGGGATTCAATTCAATAGATTTGGGATAATTCTAGGTAATCTGCAATTCTGACAAACACCTCAGGTGATACTTGGGGCTACACATTTTTTTCTTTTCTGTCCCATTTCTTTCTTGGAAGTTTAAGAACCAACATGTCAAATGTTTTTAAAAGGTAAGAGTAATAATGGTCCCTAGCCAGGAGGGAAGAATAAATGGAGAGGTGGCAAGCCTACTCACTAGGTTGACAACCAGTGACTTTGCTATCCTGGCTGCTCTACTACGCGATGGCTTCCACATTTGAAAAACAGGTTGTTGGGGCTACACTTTAAGAAACATTGCTGTGAAGACTTTTCTTGACAAAGACCTTGCCTTATGCATCTTCCTATCTCTCAGAGTACCTAGGCTCAGTGTCTGACAAGTAGATGCTCAGTAACTGTTTGTTAAAAGACTGGCTGGACTAAAATATTATCTATATAATACGTTTAATTTCCCAGCATCTTGAATGTGAAAACAAATATAAAATTCAATACAACTTGTGATCAGCATAAGAGGAAATCAGAATCCAACTGGATACAACAAAGTGTTCAAAGAAAGTATGGTACATGCAGAGAACATAAAAATAACAAAGACTTTAACCATAATCTGGATGAGGAAACATGCTGCTATTCAGTATTGCAGACTGCCATCTATCCAAATCAGATGACAGAAATGGCATAAGGATACAACGTGAATTATGTAAATTCAGGGGATACCAATCCAGTGAAATACTCAGCTCATTCTGCCAATCACTGGTTCAGGTAAAATCTATATGAAGCCTCCACCCTTCAGGTCCATACCCTTCAGTCCCACACCTCTGAAACAACTGACCTCAACAGTCAAAACACTGTCCATCACTAACTTCAACTCACTTTCAACAACAACTTGGTTTGTCTGAGACATTAGCCTAAGTCTAACTAAGGTGACAAGTCTGTGTCCTTTATTGGATAAATTCCCAATCCGTGGAAAACAGGTGATAAAAATTGAATCCATGGTATCAATATGGTTGATTTATGTTTTGAATAATCTGTTTAAGATTATTAATTAAAGCACTTGTAATGTTTGAGAGGATCTGCCACATAATTACATAATAATTAAGAGCACTAACTCTGGAGTGAGTGCCTGGATTTAGTAACCCAGTTTTGCCATTTCCTTATCAAGTTACTTAGTATCTGTGCCTCAGTTTTTTCATCTAGAAAACAAAAATAATATTAATTCCTACTTCATTAAGTTATTCTGAGGAGTAAATGAGCTTATATTTTAAAATATGTATAGGGCAATCTACTACTATTATTATACTATAATTATACTATTGAGAATCTGGGTGATTAAGCATGTGATTATACTTTAAAATTAATAAATTAAATTTATACTTTTAATTCAATAATTATTAATTTCTGACTTGTGATTTTTAAGTTGAGAGATATAAGAAAACAAATTTATAAACACTTGAATGTTTAATGAATTTAGACTCCCTATAAATTTAATTATTTTTAATAATTATTTAAATATTTGGGCAGATTTTTTTTGTTAGATTTATAAAGTTGCCTGGTCTGGTATTTGAAGTACTTAAAACTACTCAGCCATAAAAAATCATGAAATTTTGCTGTTTGCAGCAACATGGATGGACTTGCAGAGTATTATGTTAAGTGAAACAAGTCAGAAAGACAAATACTGCATGGTATCACTTATAAGTGGAATCTAAAAAATGCAACAAACTAGTGAATGTAACAGAAAAGAAGCAGACTCACAGCTATAGATAACAGATAAGTGGTTACCAGTGGGGAGAGGGAAGGGGGGACAACCTAGGGGTAGGGATTAAGAGGTGCAAATTATTATGTATAAAATAAGCTACAAGAATACATTGTACAGCATAGGGAATACAGCCAATATTTTATAATAACTATAAATGGAATATAACCTTTAAAAATTGTGAATCACTATATTATACACCTGTAGCTTATATAATATTGTACATTGACTATACATCAATTAAAAAACAAATAATTAAAAAATGAATAGGCTGAACTTATAAACGCAACTTAAACTGTTTAAGGAAATTTAACAAACTAAGTTTGTTGACTAAGTTTGTTAAATGAGACTGATTATAATTTAGTCAGTTCAATCTGAGTTAATCAAAGAAAAAGTAAAGGTGCTTGTTTTCAAATAAACAGACTTATAAACAAAATTTACAAGTTTAGCTTAAAGGCTTAAGGGAAACTAGGTTTTAAACATGTAACTTAGGTAGCTAATTAAGTTAAAGGTCAATTAAATGTAAACAGACTTCTGTAAATAACTACAGTACTGTCAAAAATCTCTTACACGGGCAATTCAGCAAATACTTACACCCATTTAGAGATGTTGCTTAATTTCAGCAAGAAGGCATACTATGGAGCTCAGTGAAACCAAAAGATTCATGCTCTCTTCTCTTGGGAGCTTACCACCTGGTCCAGTGTGTTATGATAGAATACCACTAGTATTTTGAGCAGAACGATTTTCTGTGTGAGTATGGTTTACACACTGCAGAAGATTTAGCATCCCTAGTCCCTGCTCACTAAATGCTAGTGCTAATTGTGACAATCAAAAATGTCCTTACACATTTCCAAATGCCCCCATGGGAGGCCCCTACTTTAGAACCTCTGAAACTCTAGTCATCCCCAAACATCTCAATCCTTAGGTATCAAATTAATAATTATTTCTATGAATTGGCTAATCACATCTTTTGTAGTCTGCAATTCTCTTTAAAATATTTGACATAACTAATCAATGGGCACAAAGTTTCAGTTAGGCAAGATGAATAAGTTCTAGAGATCTGCCATACAACATTGTACCTAAATCAACAATACTGTATTATATACTTAAAAATGTTAAGAGAGTAGATCTCATGTTAAGTGTTTTTACAAAGAAAAAGAATCAGCATAGACAATAAAACACGGTGTGGGTGTCCATGTGCCTGTGTGCATGTGTGTGTGTGTATGCATGTGTGTCTGTTAACTGTGTGTATGCGTGTGCGTCTGTTAAGTTTAATCTACATCCAAGGAATGGTCAGTTTATCAAAGCTGGGAATACAAACTTCAGAGGTGGTTAGATAGCATTTGATCAAATACCAATACTCAAACCTACCACTGCATGAACAGGGTGTAAGAATCAAGGGTGTCTAACAACCTATATTTGAGAATGGTACTTATATCAATACTTCATTCCATAATAGGACATTAGTAGCTGCTGACTCTTTGTTGTTGTCTGATCTTGACAAATAGCAACATTAACCAACCTTTTCTGAGTGCTTAGGATATGCCAGTAACTTTTCCAAGCATTTTACATACACGAATGCATTTAACTCCCATTAAAAACTCTGAGGTAGATAGTACTATTATTCCCGTTTTACAGATTTGGAAACTAAAGCACAGAGAAGCAAAGTAAACTTGTTCTTGTCCAAGGATCAAAGTACTAAAAGATTAACTGAATCTTACTACTAAAATACTGTCTTACACACCATGAGTGAACCACTCGTGCAAGTTGCTGTGGGGTAACTAAAAGGTCAGATAATTGGTCCTTCATTGAGCTTACAAAACAGATTTAGTAAGTGTTGTCTACATGTGACAGAACTCAAGTCTCTGAGACTTGTTTTCTTTATGGGCTGTAAACAAAGCTGGTTCTGGAGTGCACTAAACATGTTTACTATTGTTTTTCTACAGTACACTGTTCATTTTGTTAACAATGAATTATAAAATTCCTATTTTTACATACCACGATATGAAACAAGCTCCTTATTTTGATTACATAATACAAACATATCATCTTCCAAAGTAATAAAATTGAGATACTGATCGAAAACCTAGAAACAAAAGAAAAGGTTTTCAAATCAATTTTACAATATTGAATGCACTTTTAGTTTGATTTAATCTACTAATGATAAAATGAATAAAATTATAATTATATTCAATAACTAAAAATTATACCATGTAGCATGTAGATTGCCAAATTGGACAAGAATGAGAAAGTAACATTAAAAAGCAATAAAAAAAAACAAGACTCTGGGCAATAAATTATCAAGGAGAGTAACAGTTTCAGAAAACAAAATTTAAGAAGATATAAAATTTTAAAACAAATTGTGGTTGGGATGGGAATGGATATCAAATATGAAGAAAAACCACAATTTTAATTTTTATATTCATTTTAATCATACTTCTCTAAGAAAGTCATAGTAACTGTTTTTACACTGTGAACTATATTTATAGGTGGGGAAAAGTTACACTAGTTCTTTAGAAGTGTAAAACAGGAGAAAAATGAAGAAAACTATCTGAGATATGTTAAATGTAGTTAAATTGAAAACTGTTCACATTATTTCATGTAAAACTAATGATAAATTTTGGAAGAGAAAGAATAAGACATAAGCCTTAAAAACTAATCAGAAGTAGTAGTGGACTATCTAAATCTAAGAATGAAAAATCTATTAGTATGAAAGAATGGGAATTAAATGCATGGTTGTTTAGTCTTTTATTCGCCCTATATCATTCTGTAGAATTTTCAGTTATATCTTGTCCAAATTCAAGAAACAAAGGGCAAAACAGGGCTACAACCAAGAATATATTTTATAGATTTATTTATAATTAAGCCAAACATGACTAAAAGTGACTATGATATAGAGTTGCTGGCCTTCTTTCTTATAATATGCAATATAGCCCCCTTGGATACTCTCTCCTAACTAAAAAAATACCTGAAGATAGTATGGTGACTATAGTGGTCACTGATAAAACAATGTCAAAATATTCTGGGTATAATTTATGACAATACAACTGTCAAACTATTTCTAAGCTGAGCTAAAAAAATTATACAAATCCCAGCCCAAAACAAAAATAGATTCAGCTTCTTATTTTTGTCTTTCAAATTAACTGAGTAATAAGTTCCTTTAGTTTGGTTTATTTTGCCTAGTCCAAGTTGAAGATAATTTACACTATCAGAACTCTTTCTAGAAGTACTGGGTCTAAATATTTCTTAGGTTGTTCCAGTCCTTTGTAAATTAGACACCAATGTCTATTTATAGGTTTCAGAATATTACTAAATTTTACATTTAACAAAATGTTATCAGCCAACCAAAACCTCTTACCTTGGCTACTTGTGTTACTGCACTAGCTGCTAATGCTGCATTTGCAATATCTTCCAGTTTACTTCTTGAAATAGCAGAAATAAAATTTAAATAATATGATTCATAGAGTTGATTTCGAAGATCCTATGAATACAATGAATACTTCATTCTTATAGGATAGTATAAAGGATAATGACCAATGCAAATCTTTTAGATGCTATAAGAGCAAGGTTTTAGAGGATAATATGCATATTTAAAAGACAGGTTATACAAATGATACAAAAAAAGTATCCCAGGAGAATAAAGTTATGAAGAGGTACTGGTTACTTGGTTACCAGATATAACTGACATGTATTTTAATAATTAAAGTTATGATACTATAATTATATTATCAATAAAACCCTATTAATTACAGTAGTGTACAAAACTGCTTTGAATTAGCATACTTGTATATTAGCATACTTCTTAAAAAAATCCAGGAGAGGGGAAAGATGGTGGAAGAGTAAGACGCGGAGATCACCTTCCTCCCCACAGATACATCAGAAATACATCTACACGTGGAACAACTCCTACAGAACAACCACTGAACACTGGCAGAAGACCTCAGACCTCCCAAAAGGCAAGAAACTCCCCACGTACCTGGATAGGGCAAAAGAAAAAAGAATAAACAGAGACAAAGGAATAGGGGCAGGACCTGCACCAGTGGGAGAGAGCTGTGAAGAAGGAAAGGTTTCCACACACTAGGAAGCCCCTTCGCGGGCGGAGACTGCAGGAGGCGGAGGGGGGAGCTTCGGAACCGCGGAGGTGTGCACAGCAACAGGGGAGCGGAAGGCAAAGCGGGGAGATTCCCGCATAGAGGATCGGTGCCAACCAGCACTCACCAGCCCGAGAGGCTTGTCTGCTCACCCGCCGGGGTGGGGCGGGGCTGGGAGCTAAGGCTCGGCTTTGGTGGGATCGCAGGGAGAGGACTGGGAGAGGACTGGCGGCGTGAACACAGCCTGAAGGGGTTAGTGCACCACGGCTAGCAGGAGGGAGTCCGGGGAAAAAGTCGGGACCTGCCGAGGAGGCAAGATACATTTTCTTCCCTCTTTGTTTCCTGGTGCACGAGGAGAGGGGATTAAGAGAGCCGCTTAAAGGAGTTCCAGAGACGGGAGCGAGCTGCGGCTATCAGCGTGGACCCCAGAGATGGGCATGAGACGCTAAGGCCGCTGCTGCCGCCACCAAGAAGCCTGTGTGCGAGCACAGGTCACTATCCACACCTCCCCTCCCAGGAGCCTGTGCAGCCCGCCACTGCCAGGGCCCTGGGATCCAGGGACAACTTCCTTGGGAGAACACACAGCGCACCCCAGGCTGCTGCAACGTCACGCTGGCCTCTGCCGCCGCAGGTTCACCCCGCACACCGTGCCCCTCCCTCCCACCGGCCTCAGTGAGCCAGAGCCCCTGAATCAGTGGCTCCTTTGACCCCGTCCTGTCTCAGCTAAGAACAGACGCCCTCCGGTGACCTACACACAGAGGCAGGGCCAAATCCAAATTTGAACCCCGGGAGCTGTGCGAACAAAGAAGAGAAAGGGAAATTTCTCCCAGCAGCCTCAGAAGCAGCGGATTAAATCTCCACAATCAACTTGATGCACCCTGCATCTGTGGAATGCCTGAATAGACAACGAATCATCCCAAATTGAGGCAGTGGACTTTGAGAGCAAGATATATTATTTTTTCCCCTTTTCCTCTTTTTCTAAGTGTGTATGTGTCTGTGTGAGATTTTGTCTGTATAGCTTTGCTTTCACCATTTGTCCTAGGGTTCTATCCGTCCTTCTTGTTGTTTTTTGTTTTGTTTTTTTACTTAAAAGGAAAAATTTTTTCTTAATAATTATTTTTTATTTTAATAACTTTATTTTATCTTACTTTATCTTACCTCTGTCCTTCCTTCCTTCCTTCCTTCCTTCCTTCCTTTCTACTTTTTCTCCCTCTTGTTCTGAGCTGTGTGGATGAAAGGCTTTTGGTGCTGCAGCCAGGAGTCAGTGCTGTGCCTCTGAGGTGGGAGAGCCAACTTCAGGACACTGGTCCACAAGAGACCTCCCAGCTCCACATAATATCAAATGGCAAAAATCTCCCAGAGATCTCCATCTCAACACCAACACCCAGCTTCACTCAATGACCAGCAAGCTACAGTGCTGGACACCCTATGCCAAACAACTAGAAAGACAGGAACACAACCCCACCCATTAGCAGACAGGCTGCCTAAAATCATAATAAGGTCACAGACACCCCAAAACACACCACCAGACATGGACCTGCCCATCAGAAAGACAAGATCCAGCCTCATCCACCAGAACACAGGCACTAGTCCCGTCCACCAGGAAGCCTACACAACCCACTGAACCAACTTTAGACACTGGGGACAGACACCAAAAACAACGGGAACTACGAACCTGCAGCCTGCAAAAAGGAGACCCCAAACACAGTAAGCAAAATGAGAAGACAGAAAAACACACAGCACATGAAGGAGCAAGATAAAAACCCACCAGACCTAACAAATGAAGAGGAAATAGGCAGTCTACCTGAAAAAGAATTCAGAATAATGATAGTAAAGATGATCCAAAATCTTGGAAATAGAAAAGAGAAAATGCAAAAAACATTTAACAAGGACCTAGAAGAACTAAAGAGGAAACAAGCAACGATGAACAACACAATAAATGCAATTAAAAATACTCTAGAAGGGATCAATAGCAGAATAACTGAGGCAGAAGAACGGATAAGTGACCTGGAAGATAAAATAGTGGAAATAACTACTGCAGAGCAGAATAACGAAAAAAGAATGAAAAGAACTGAGGACAGTCTCAGAGACCTCTGGGACAACATTAAACGCACCAACATTCGAATTATAGGGGTCCCAGAAGAAGAAGAGAAAAAGAAAGGGACTGAGAAAATATTTGAAGAGATTATAGTTGAAACCTTCCCTAATATGGGAAAGGAAATAGTTAATCAAGTCCAGGAAGCACAGAGAGTCCCATACAGGATAAATCCAAGGAGAAACACGCCAAGACACATATTAATCTAACTATCAAAAATTAAATACAAAGAAAACATATTAAAAGCAGCAAGGGAAAAATAACAACACACAAGGGAATACCCATAAGGTTAACAGCTGATCTATCAGCAGAAACTCTGCAAGCCAGAAGGGAGTGGCAGGACATATTTAAAGTGATGAAGGAAAAAAACCTACAACCAAGATTACTCTACCCAGCAAGGATCTCATTCAGATTTGATGGAGAAATTAAAATCTTTACAGACAATCAAAAGCTGAGAGAGCTCAGCATCTCCAAACCAGCTTTACAACAAATGCTAAAGGAACTTCTCTACGCAAGAAACACAAGAGAAGGAAAAGACCTACAATAACAAACCCAAAACAATTAAGAAAATAGTAATAGGAACATACATATCAATAATTACCTTAAATGTAAATGGATAAAATGCTCCCATCAAAAGACACAGACTGGCTGAATGGATACAAAAACAAGACCCATATATATGCTGTCTACAAGAGACCCACTTCAGACGTAGGGACACACACAGACTGAAAGTGAGGGGACCGAAAAAGATACTCCAAGGAAATGGAAATCAAAAGAAAGCGGGAGTAGTAATTCTCATACCAGACAAAATAGACTTTAAAATAAAGACTATTACAAGAGACAAAGAAGGACACTACATAATGATCAAGGGATCGATCAAAGAAGATATAACAATTGTAAATATTTATGCACCCAACATAGGAACACCTCAACACATAAGGCAAATACTAACAGCCATAAAAGGGGAAATCAACAGTAACATATTCATAGTAGGGGACTTTTAACACCCCTCTTTCACCAATGGAGAGATCATCCAAAATGTAAATAAATAAGGAAACACAAGCTTTAAATGATACATTAAACAAGATGAACTTAATTGACATTTATAGGACATGCCATCCAAAAACAACACAATACACATTTTTCTCAAGTGCTCATGGAACATTCTCCAGGATAGATCATATCTTGGGTCACAAATCAAGCCTTGATAAATTTAAGAAAATTGAAATTGTATCGAGTATCTTTTCCACCACAATGCTATGAGACTAGATATCAATTACAGGAAAAGATCTGTAAAAAATACAAAAACATGGAGGCTAAACAATACACTACTTAATAATGAATTGATCACTGAAGAAATCAAAAAGGAAATCAAAAAATACCTAGAAACAGGGCATCCCTGGTAGCACAGTGGCTGAGAGTCCGCCTGCCGATGCAGGGACACGGATTCGTGCCCTGTTCTGGGAAGATCCCACATGCTGCGGATGGGCTGGGCCCGTGAGCCATGGTCACTAAGCCTGTAAGTCCAGAGCCTGTGCTCCGCAACGAGAGAGGCCACAACAGTGAGAGGCCCGCATACTGCAAACAAACAAACAAACAAACACATACCTAGAAACAAATGACAATGGAGGCATGACGACCCATGCCTGCAGGATGCAGGAAAAGTAGTTCTAAGAGGGAAGTTTATAGCAATACAATCCTACCTTAAGAAACAGGAAACATCTCAAATAAACAACCTAACCTTGCACCTAAAGCAATTAGAGAAAGAAGAACAAAAAAACCCCAAAGTTAGCAGAAGGAAACAAATCATAAAATTCAGATCAGAAAGAAATGAAGGAAACGATAGCAAAGATCAATAAAACTAAAAGCTGGTTCTCTGAGAAGATAAACAAAATTGATAAACCATTAGCCAGACTCAACAAGCAAAAAAGGGACAAGGCTCAAATCAATAGAATTAGAAATTAAAAAGGAGAGTAACAACAGACACTGCAGAAATACAAAAGATCATGAGAGATTACTACAAGCAAATCTATGGCAATAAAATGGACAACTTGGAAGAAATGGACAAATTCTTAGAAATGCACAACCTGCCAAGACTGAACCAGGAAGAAATAGAAAATATGAACAGACCAATCACAAGCATTGAAATTGAGACTGTGATTAAAAATCTTCCAGCAAACAAAAGCCCAGGACCACACGGCTTCACAGGTGAATTCTATGAAATATTTAGAGAAGAGCTAACACCTATCCTTCTCAAACTCTTCCAAAATATAGCAGAGGGAGCAACACTCCCAA